GATAAAAATGATTTGATACCGATTGGTACGACATCGATCATTATCGAACTGATTTTCGAACGAGGACAAAGTTCAAATCCAGTGAGAGTAGGCCTAGCAGATCAATTAACATTTATTATCCGACAAAGATGAAGGATAATACGATACTTGACTAGCCTATTTTCATAGGCTGTATGTCGATGTGTTGATTCACACATCAAGAACATTTTTAGTTTCTCAAATACTGTGGAAGGGTGGGTGTGTGGGTGTGGGTGGGTGTGGGTGTGAGTATGGGTATGGGTATGGGTGTGGGTGTGTGGGTGTGGGTGGGGTGGGTGTGGGTGTGGGTATGGGTATGGGTATGGGTATGGGTATGGGTATGGGTATGGGTATGGGTATGGGTGTGGGTGTGGGTGGGTGGGTGTGGGTGTGGGTGGGTGTGGGTGGGTGGGTGTGGGTGTGGGTGGGTGGGTGTGGGTGTGGGTGTGAGTGTTAGTCTTCTCCTTCATATATCCACACCCATACCCACACCCACACACCCCACACCCACTCACCCACATCCCACACCCACACACCCACACCCACACCCACATCCACACCCACACCCACACTCACATCCACACTCACCCATACCCACACTCACACCCACCCACACTCTCAGGCACAGAGTATTCTTAATTTTTCAAACACCGATCTGTCATATCTAGAAATCAAGCTCGTATTTCAACTACTTTCAGATTTAGCTATGTATCGATTTATTTGTCAAGAGTATAGATAAAAGCAGTGAAATTCTTCCTCTTTATTCTAGCTCTTTCAAGTGGTTGTATGCCACCTTATGTTGCGACACCATCTGGCAATTGTGTTAATATTTTAATTGATATCAATAATTGTGACAGTATTGGTTATATCTGTCCATTCAATTATGTGACACTACCTTTCAGTACAACAATTTATAATACTACAGTTAGTGTTGTCTCTGTCACTACGAATGGTATAAGTTGTTGTTTATTTGAATTTAAAAATTAAGAAGAGAAAGGACATTTATTTGCAATAACATAATTTTAAAAAAACCTATTTCTTGTATACTTTTCTATGTTGACTTCTTCAAATCATGTTCATCGTATACGAAACATCCATTTTATTCACTTTATCTACGATAAGTCATTTGTTTTGGAACATGCGCCAGCACCTACACAGAAACTGCTTTGTCCACGTCGGCTTTTGATGGTGCGACACTTTTTCCATATTGGGATGATTTATTTATATCTATAAACATCTCACAAGGTATTTATTATAAAACGCAAGGCACTGCACCAAATCGCATCCTCGCATTCAAATCTTATACAAGTCATTATCAACAATTCAATCAATATTATCATTTTCAAGTGATATTTTTCAAAGCTCAACCTAATGTTGTTCAATATAAATATTTTGAAATAACTGATAGAGGTATATCTTATACGATTGGAATTCAAGGTAAGAGAAAAGTATGTTTTAGCTCCGAGCACAGGTCTAGCACTGCAATATTCTTTTAACGTAGTCAACATGATTCGACCAAATATGACTATTACTTTTAATACAACTTTTGAAATAATCACCACTTCAACTTTCTAAAAGTATTGTGGTCCACGTGTTCAATTATTTATAGACGATTATTCGAATTTTTACTTGATTAATTAACTACTCTAGTTGCAGAGGCTTTTTTTCACATAACTAACATTTAATAATGAAGTTTTTTGTTTCATATGATCTATCTTCAATGTAACGGGTAGAGCATAATGAACGACCACTTTGCGCACAAGAGTTTTCGTCAATAAATACGTTTTGTAAAAAAAAAACAAAATATAGCAGAAGGCACAAGGTGAAAAAGCTCTACAAGCTACAAAGTAAAGTGTATTTTAATTATATATATTTTGTTTACGAAAAAAGGCAAAAAACATATTAATTACTGAAAGATTGTAATGCGAAAAGCAGCCATTCGTTATGCCCCACTCGTCACGTTTTTCTAGAAGAAAAGACTAGTGAAATTGAAAAATTTAATAAGTCTTTGCAGCATATACTGAGATTATCAGTTTTTATTTTGATAAAAAAAAAATAAGATAAGGTATTCAACCTGACTAGTGACAGAATTCTCTAAGTGTGATGATCAACAATGACCATGATGGTGATGATGTCCATCTCCAAAACCACCGTGATGATGAAAGCCAAATCCGAAATCTGGTCCTATGTGATGATGATGATGATTATGTCCGTATCCAAAATGATGGCCACCATGATGATGATGATGATGGTAAGGGTGTCCCCAAGTGGTTCCAAGATGGTGATGATGATAAGGATGTGGATGGCAATATGTTTGATCCATGTTGCTTAAAACAAATATCAGAATATCAAGCTGTTTTTCAATCAATGAAGTTTGTAAGAAGTGAGAGTGCCCTTTTATATAGAATAGTCGAGAGATGTATGACCATTTGTTATTCACCAGTTTTTTTTCTCTTTCTCGCTTTTTCTTTTCAGAATGACAAAGACAAAGTTTGTTCTATGAGACAATGTACTGTATGAGTCAGACTTTTGAGATATTAGTGATGACGATGATAAAATACACAGTTTGACGTCAATCGACACTTGAAATTCTCTATCTAATCTAAGGGTGCATGTGGTGTGAATGAGAATGAAGGCGAATAATACAGCTCCAATGGTACGAACTCAGTTGTTTCCTTCATAATCGAATCAAAATATTCTATTGATCAAACAAGAACTTTTGTCGATATTATTTCTTCAAATGGATTCTTATGAGCTGAACTACTCAATATTTTACTCATAGTCTTACCTCATCTATGTTATTCTCTTACTTTCTAACAGGCAGCTTATTTGTCTCAAGGGGGAAACAGCGGACTTCAAGACTTCAAGACTTCAAAAGACTTCAAAAGACTTCAACAGACTTCAACCGCAGTGACTTCATATTTTCACAAGACTTCAAAAGAGTTCTAAAGAGTTCTGAAGACTTCATAGGACTCCAAATGACTTCACAAGACTTTATAAGACTTCGTATGACTTCATAAGACTTCATGAGACTTCATGGGACTTCAAAAGACTTCGTTAGACTTCACAGACTTCGTGAGACTTCACGGACTTCATGAGACTTCACGGATTTCATGAGACTTCAGAGACTTTGTAGGACTTCTTGAGACTTTATAAGACTTCATAAGACTTCACAAGACTTCATTAAACTTCAAGAGACTTCATGAGATTTCAAGAGACTTCAAGAGACTTCAAGAGACTTCAAGAAACTTCAAGAAACTTCAAGAGACTTCATGAGACTTCATGAAACTTCATGAGACTTCATTAGAATTCAAGAGACTTCATGAGACTTCATTAGAATTCAAGAGACTTCAAGAGACTTCATGAGACTTCATTAGACTTCATGAGACTTCATGAGACTTCATGAGACTTCACAAGACTTCACAAGACTTCACAGGACTTCAAGAGGCAGATTCCATGCGTATCAAAAAACCTTATAGAAATTACATGAAATTTCTATAACATGCAAAAAACAAAACTTATCATATAGAGATTACAAAAGTGTTTCTTGTTTCTGAGAATTGTTTCTCGCAGTATATCCATATCTAGAATAAAGATGTGACAATGACACAAAGCGTTGATGAAACTAAAACAGAGAAAATAAACTTTACTGGTATGCGTATGTTTGATTCGATTAATCCAGCATTGGAAAACTCCTATTTTCAGGTGCAAATAAATAACAAGACTAAATTTATACACAAGCAAACGACTTGTTGGTTATTGACCGACGAAGCTAGCCGTTTATCGGCTGATAGATTATCACGAGTGATAGAAATAAACAAAAAGGAATAAAATTCTTCATAAGATTGACATCGAATAAATGAAACATTTCTTATAAAAATAAACCACTTCATTCACAAAGCATTCAGTTCTTAACTATCATGTTTTCTAAGATCCAACAAACTTGAATTTTTTTCCAGTACCTTGACAAACAAACAATAAAAAGTTCACCTTTCTGCTAAAATAAGACCGTCGAAAATAAGACAATTTCATTGCTTTTTTATGAATTTTCATGCACTAAATGTATTTCAAAACTTCCATGAGACTTCATTAGACTTCAAAAGACTTCAAGAGACTTCAAGAGACTTCAAGAGACTTCAGAAGACTTCATGAGACTTCATAAGACTTCATGATACTGCATTAGAATTCAAGAGACTTCAAGAGACTTCATGAGACTTCATGAGACTTCATGAGACTTCGTGAGACTTCATTAGACTTCATGAGACTTCATTAGTCTTCATGAGACTTTATGAGACTTCATAAGACTTTATGAGACTTCATAAGACTTTATGAGACTTCAGAGACTTCAAGAGACTTTATGAGAATTCATGAGAATTCATAAGACTTCAAAGAGACTTCAGAAGACTTCGAAAGACTTTCAAGATTTCATGGGACTTCACGACTGAAGTCTCTGCTGTTTCCCCCTTGATTTGTCTTCTCATTCACTATCTGTATCAAACAGCTTTCTACGTGTTATTCAATAAAAACACAAACCCAATATGTTTCCATTGTTGCTACTCTTGTTGCTTGCTGTGCACGGTATCTATTCTCTCGAATGTATGTACTGTTACGCTGGTCGATTTCCATTCAATCAACCATTTTGTATTCCTGGCGACGAGTGTCGAACACATATTACAGCGAGTGAATGTGGTATTTATTTTATGTTTTATTACCATAATCAGAAATATGAAGCAAACATAGGCCAAGGCTCTTTGTAGAAGAAAGTTGTTACCGTTGCAACTGGACCTTATCTAGCTTATGGTATCAGTTCTCAATGTTCAACTGAAACTACCTGTGTTACTTATTTTCCACAGAGTAGACTGGACGAAATGATTGATCGGGTGGGCGTGGGTGTGTGGGCGTGTGTGGGTGTGGGTGTGGGTGTGGCTGTGGCTGTCGATTTAGGAAATGAAGACCAATACCCACAACCACCCACCCACCCTTAAAATAAATAAATATTATACCATTCATAGGAATTAAATAGAGCAAAATAACATTATAAACTGTGACGATGGAAAGATGAAGAGACATTTGACACATTTGATCATCAACAGGGTATTTGATTTCACCAGTAAATACATGTGGAAAAGCACATATAAAAGCTATGATCCAACTTAAACTAATGAAAGAAATTTGAACCCGTTTTGATTGCCAAAACAAACGAGATGGATAAACAATTGTTAGATATCGATAACCCAGGTGAGCAAAAGACGGGCTAAATGACTCGTCTTTTTTCTTGTCATGTCGACGCGGCATGCCCGATCTTTTTCTCAAATTCGATTGTAACATGACTAGTCCGGAATTTTGGCCGTCATCAAGTCCCGTCTA